CCCAAACTTACGAAATACTATTTCTGTTTTTGATTTATTAGCGTTCTTGCGGATGATAATGTTGATAAAACTGGAGATCTATACATTCGAAGTGTTTGTTTTAGTCCTGATGGCAAATATTTAGCAACGGGAGCAGAAGATAAACAAATAAGAGTGGGTATTCTATGTATCATTTGTGACGATTGTTCTTCAAGGTCAGTTATTTAACTTTCATATCTTTTATTAATGATTAGATCTGGGACATAGCCACACAAAAGATCCGAAATATGTTCCAAGGACACGAGCAAGATATTTATTCTTTGGACTTCTCAAGAGACGGTCGATTGATCGTTTCAGGTTCAGGCGACAAGACTGCTCGAGTTTGGGATATGTTATCGGGCGAAGAATTATTTAAGTTAACGATTGAAGAAGCCAGTCAAAAGGACGCTGGTGTCACAAGTGTGGCAATTAGTCCAGATGGTCAATACGTCGCTGCTGGCTCACTCGACAAAATTGTACGTGTATGGGACGCACGATCCGGTTATCAATTAGAACGCTTGGAAGGACACAAGGACAGTGTTTACTCGGTCGCTTTCTCGCCTGATGGCAAAACACTCGTTTCCGGTAGCTTAGATAAAACTTTACGATTGTGGGATATGAGTCATCCGGGACGAAATGGGGGAGCTTCGAATTCAAAGAGCCACAAATTGACATTTAATGGACACAAAGTATGTTCAATGTTCTTTTCAACTTGACTCGCGTGAAAACATCAGTGATGTTTATTATAATTTATTGATATAAATATTCATAATTGCTTTTTTTTAGGACTTTGTGTTGTCAGTGGCCGTTTCTCCAGATGGTCGCTGGGTAGTATCAGGATCAAAAGATCGCGGTGTACAATTCTGGGATCCTAATACTGCACAAACACAGTTCATGTTACAGGGTCACAAAAACTCAGGTTTGTAATGAAATTAGCTTTGCCTTTTTATCTTTTCTTCTTTTTTTATACTTGTTTTGTCTCGAGTCTAATTAATTTCCGAATTTATTTTAGTCATCTCCGTGGCGTTAAGTCCGGTTGGTAAACTTTTTGCTACTGGGTCAGGTGATTGTCGAGCAAGAGTATGGAGGTACATGTATGACCAGGAAATGTAACGCGGAATCAATAATAAGAAGATACAAAAAAGCTTTCGGGATTTTGTGTGTTTGTCTACAATCAATTTATGTATAAATAATACGCGAGAAAACAAGCATTCAAGTGGTAGTTGATTAAAGCATAATTTTAGTCAGTAAGCCTATCAATCAGTCGGCCACTATCTAAAACACACACATCTCGATGGATAATAGGCCCCGAGTGGTTGGTTGGTTTATTTTATTGTTGTATATGAAACCACAACAAAATAAAATAGGTATTCTTTTATATAAAATCTCTATATATAATATAGTCTAATTTCTCCTTGTTCTTATTGTTTTTTCTTTAAAGTCTGTGTGAGCGTGCGAAAAGTAGTAATTTATACATTAATTATTACTATTCTATAAATAAGAACTATGGTTAGTTTTATTTTTATTATCTATATTAATTTTCCCTTTGAAATTCACGCACATACAAACACTTAATTTTTCTGTAGATGTTTTTTTTATTTTTTTTTTGGTTTTTTATTTTCTTGTTATTCATCACTATCATCCGCCTTTTATATACCCATGATAACAAAATATCACGCATTTTTTCTTGTACAGAGGAATTTTTAAAGTTTTTCTTAAATAAATGAATTAGTAAATTTTGTCATAATTTCCGAATAAACTTAATCATTTAAGCAAATGTATAAAAATGTACGTGACTTATGCTATGTGAACATTTATATTTCCATTTTAATTTATTTATTATAATAAATAAGAGTGCATTGTCATTAATCGAGAGAAATTTGAGAGATTATATAATATTTTTCTGATAATAATGTTAGTTGCTAAGGTCTGCACGTAAAAGTGATGATTAGTTTTTTTAGGGCATCATATTAAAAAGAATAATGCAGATTTGAATGAATATATCGTTTAAGGTGAACATTTTTCATTGACGACTCTGCACCACGAATATCAAAATTCTGCGGAGAACCAGGGTATGTATTGTGATTTTCAATGCATTTCGAAAAGAGTTTTCCCACCAGTCTTCTTATTTCAACCCAACTTATAAAAAAAAATTAAGTTAGCTTTTGTTAAATTGTTCTCCAATAAATTTTTTATAACCGTAGTAAACAAACTTTACTTGTTAACGAAATATAGAATTTTATTGTGAATGGAATTTTATTGTGAATGAATTTCATCATGAATGAAAATTTGTTTATGAATGAAACTTGCGTGATGAAAAGAGTAATTTCAATCATGCGTTAATAATGATGTAATCTCCATCCTAACCATATTGTTCTTACTGCTGTCATCTGCTCTATTGTACGATACGATTGACAATAAGATCGCTGTTTTGTGTTCATGTCAATGGAAAGGTGGCGTCTGTTCGGGTTTTTGAGCAAATATAAATATAGAATTGCTTTTGAAATTTTTTATTCACTCTTCTGACAAAATGATCAATTTCGACATTAACAACGATAGCGATAGTAAAGAAAATAAAATTAAATTTGGATATATTTTTGGTGCGCAATTTTTTAATGCTTGTTTTGTACTATAAATAGATAAATAAATAAATAAATAAACAAACAAAATATTAAGTCACCCTTAATTTTCATTAATATAGAAGAAAATCCAGGTGAATCGGTTGTACGTATTATAACACCCAAAAATCTTGAAAGAATACGATTAACACCAGCAAAACAAAAATTTGTATTTCAAGGAACACGAACACGCATACTAGAATGGATGCTCGAAAACGAAGATATAATTGTAGAATATGATCCAACAGACGGAATGCTAACTCCGCCAATTTCACCGCAAGCCAATGAGTTCAATAAAGAAAATCATCGTGGCTCAGATGCATCACACACATCAGCATCTGTGACGTCTACGTCGTCAAAATCATCATCATCATTATCATTATCATCATCATCATTAGCATCATCATCATCGTCATCATCATCATCAACAAAAAATATATTTATTACTTTTGATCTATTTGGACAAACGATAAAGAATACGCCGTTATTATCTGATGATATAGTATTTTATCGTCCATTACATTTCGCGAAAAATCACTTCCCCTGGTTAGACGTGACACTTGAGATACGACCGACTGATCCACTTCAAGATTCTAAATATGATCCGGTGAAACGATTGATTTTACAATCAGGTTTATCACTCTACGAAATTTCAAAGGCGCTCGAAAAGAATTGGCGGAATTTAATGCCACATTGTTGTCCATTATTTCAACGACCACCTCCATCCCTTGAACTCTCTGGAGATGCTGTCGACGATTCAAACAATCCACTGTTGGACTGGTTGGCACATCATAAATCATCCACTTTTCCAACGCCACCTCTAATTAACAAGTGGCAACGAAGTAAGTCTATCATTCCGCCGGGTGTTTTAACGCCGTATAATATCGAAGAAGTTATGGCAGAACAATGGTTTAATGTGTCGAAAAAATTCGAGGAGGTTTTTACAGATGAGAAAATGAATAGAGAGTGTGTGTGACAGGATGGGGAGGAAATAAAAAATTACATGAGATTGTGTTGCCGAGGTATGAAACAAGCGGATGAGGTTAAGTTATTAGAATTGGGATTAGAGATCATTCTAATAGGATTATGAACGCGAAAACTTTCAATTTTTATAATTTTTTTTATTTGTATATATAAATTAGATTAATACTATCATATTATTTGTTAGACGATTTATCATCATCATATCATCATTACTATCATCAAAAAACGTAATTTACTTCATCATCATTATAATTATTCATCTTTTATTGCGCCAAAAAAAGTTGCATTTATATATTATAATATAGTCGATTCTTTTTTTATTAAGCTTGTATGAGAATATTTGTCAAAGAAAATTGATATTTACAAGTATCAATGAGTACGAAAGATCCAGTTATAACCATCATAATAAAAACACCATGTCACATCGACAAGAATCATCGCACCATCCTCATTCTCATCCTCAGCATTATCGCTATCCACACTACATTAAAATGATGATGCAAAAAGCCCTCCTCATGTTACTTTTGATGGTTTTGTACGCAATGTCTGTTAGAGAGAAGTTAAAGATGCATGTTAATTATTATGGGGTTATTAGATTTGGCGAAGGAAAGGGAGGTAATAAAGATTTGAATTGGAATTGGGGATATAAATATGAATGTGAGCGGGGACGAGGAATGATATTATTACCAGGTGAAGCGATCTGTGAATCGGATGCGTATCTAAAGGGACAACTTCTTGTTGAGGATATTTTATGGTGATATCGCAATGTAAAAAATTGCCCAAACTTTCTGTTAACTAAATAAAAATTATGATATAATTAGACGACCAATCAAAAAAATGGTACACAAAAATTTGAGCTCTCAAACATTGCAAACAATTTAAATTTCCCTCTTTTTCAAAGAATTTCACAGATGTAAAAGGGTCATAATCTTTGGTATTTGTTATCAAGAAGGTACCAGGGACTAAAAAGACGAAAAAACATTCGAGTGGTATTTGAACGCTTGACGAAACATTTTCAATAAGAAAAAAATGGGAAGAATTCGACGTTCAAGAACACACAAAGGTATCATCTATAAATGAGCATTTTCGATATTGCCAATGATCATAAGTTACGACATTCTTTAAATTATCCTTCTTTTTCAAACCAGGAATCAAAGATTATTCCAAGAAATACCGAACAAGAAAATATACAAAAGATCTTGACCAAATCCATGAAGACTTGAAAAAATCACAAGAAAAAACCAATAATGAAAAACTGAATCAAGAACAGGAGCAACAACAATTACCACATGATATAGACCCAGACCTTCCCGGTCTCGGGCAACATTATTGTATTGCTTGCGCGTAAGTTTTAAATTTATTTTTTTTATTTTTTTTTTTTATTTTTTTTTTTTTTAGGAAAGTACAGTCAACCTCCCCTATAATCACCTCCTCTCTAATCACATCACAGTAAAAACCTCTTTATAAGCAACATTTTTTAAAAAAATCACTAAGTGAGGTTTACTGTAGGAATAATTGTAACTCTTTGCTTGCTCTGGTGGTGTGTATTGGAATATGAAACGATTAAAGGAGTAAAAAAATCCGATATGCGTATTCATGTTGTATGATCACTTGACAAACCGACAAGATGTTCTTTATCATTTCTTCCTTAAAATTTTAGCAGAAAAAATTAAGGCAATGCAAAAGTTAATATTATTTTCATTATTATCACATGCAGACGTTACTTTATTGACGCCAATGCACTCACCGAGCATTATCGTGGAAAAGTTCACAAAAAAAGGCAAGTGAATTTTCATCAACCATTATCTTTTCTCTATCGGATCTTGTTAGATAATAATCCTTAAAAAAAACCCACAATTAAGTAAAAATGGTTAATGCATGTTTTGAAAACTTGTTAAACACAACTTTCTGCATATTCTCTCTGTGACTCATACACATTTTCAACGTCTCACAATTTTAATTCTGATAGGATTAAATTGCTCAAAGAAGTACCTTACACACAAGCAGAAGCGGAGGCTGCTGTTGGATTTACTACAGAGCATGCACGAGTTCGACTTATGGACGAAGTTGTATAATAGTATATTCGCAGTGGTGTAAAAATTTTAAAGTTATCAAATAAAAGAAAGATCTTCAGGGATCAGTTAATTTATATTAATACATACCGATACATGTGGTCTATTCAATAATGGTACATAACCGTAAACTAACCCCCCCTTCCAAGATTCTTAGTAGAAACGATTACCATTCATAGAAATCTTTTAGGTTGAGGGAGGATAGGTGGGAGGAATAAGTGTGAAAATCAATTCTTGCAATCGATGCGCGTAAAAATTTGACGAGATAGCGTTGCATATAATGTTGTTTATTTTATTTACGTGTCGCATTTTTTATTGAATTGATTTATATGTCACAGTCATTTTCTGCTGTTGATCTTTTGTATCTTTTGTTCTACCGGAACGTGATGAACCCCAGCGCTAAACAAAGTTAAGGGAATTTTCTTCGGGAATTTTCTTCGGTTATAAAGACACTCGATCTCAATTAAATTAATTAACATGTAATTACGAAAAATGATCCACGAAACCGGCTTTAAACCGGTGACAATGTTTTACAATCGCGGTACCCCACGAAATAACCACACGAGTTAATTATCAACAACTATAATAGAAGAACATCATATTGTCAAACACACCACAAATATGCGGCGAGTGGATGGTGTGAGAACTTGCTGTCAAAGTTGCCAATCAGGCCATTCTGCAAGTTGGTGTGTGTTACAGATCCACGAAAATGCTCTCAAGTTCTGCATGTATTTTTACTTTTAATGGATGTCCGAATTTTTCTCTGACATTTACCCCACCTTTTTCTCTAGTAACACGAAAAAGGAGGAAGACAAAGAATTTTCTTTTTTGTACAAATCATCCGATTTAGTTTTATACAGGTTTATAAGGTTGATTTGTGTTTTGCAACAAATAATATGTTCGGATGTATGATGATCAACCTGACTTGAGCCTAGGTTCTAAAAAAAGACAAGATCTTCTCATCCTGTCTACTCGTTTCATATGAAAAATTGGCTTTCTCTTTTGTAGAACAACAAAATTCCGCAAAGTTTATTTTTTCCAAAAAAGTTTGTTGGTCGGAATTTTAATATAATTTCCGGAGACTAGGCAGTGAAGAATACAAGTCATCTAACGGATAGAAAAATGAACTAACACGAATTTCTGGCGTGCCCGAACTGAGTTGCTAAATAGACAGATAACCGTTTTTATTCGACCTAGATAAGAATGAATTTCTGCGGAATTTGTTACAGGAACGTTTGGAATTCATTTTTTTTCAAGTTGACAATCATATGAATATTATTAATAGTTGATCAGAAAAAAAATCTTTTTCGAGGATCTCGCTATTTTTTGTTGTCATTAATTATTGGTATAGAAAGAAGCAAAAAAAAAAAAGAGAGGAAAAAATAAATTTCGTTTGGCTCGTCATCTCCATCTCAAAGAGGGAGGCAGAACAATTATGCTGAAGAATATAATGAATGAATTCAACTATGGTAAATGATCACAGGTTCACACACACAATGGATAATACAAATCCATTTTCTTCGCTCTCTTCTTTTCCCGTTTCAAATCCTGTTTGGGACGTCTTTCTGATCAAGCGTTAAGATATCAAATGAGTGATACGCGGTATATCTAATATCTAATCAGTGTTAATCTCATGCCGTGTTGCGCTTTATTCTCGTGTTTTGTGTACCAGTCTCTCCTGGCCATCGTGGTGTAAGCAAACAAGCAAGCAATTGTGTCGTGATTAGTATTATTGCTGTTTACGTGCAAAAAAAAAAATGCTGTAACCGAAATCTTTCCTCTTTAAGATTTGATGCGGGGACAAACGGCGACGACGATGACGATATGCATCAGCCTTTTCGCTCCCGATTTAGACTAAAATTTCGTGCAAGTACAACAACTGTGAAATCATCCAATACCGTTGTCATCTTCAAACACCTTAGTAATATAAAAACAGAATGAAATAGAATGAAACACAACCACCTTATCTTGATTCTTTGTTCGTCATTCTTTTGCAATACTTAACCTATGTTGACATCAATAGTAATTTCATTTTCGCACATCACCAACGTATCATCGTCACACCGTCTCTGATATCGTTGACTCCCCCTTTCCCTTCCCTTCTTTTCTTTCATTTTCGTCTTTTACTGCGCAGAGATGACAAAGGCCAAGTGGTATCTATTCAATAAAAGATTTTCCCTGTTTTTTTGATGATGATATTTTTCTTGGAGGGGAAGGAATTCACTAGTTAGATATTAATTCCAAAGCACGCACATACATGCGTTTTTGAGTTTAATTTTTTAATTATATTAATTGTATATCAAATATATTTGTATAATAGTTAATTAAATAAATATAGTAACATATAATAAATTAAATAAATATTTATATTTTATTTATTTATCATTTCATTTATTATTTAATTTATCTTAATGAATAAAAAAAAGTTATCTCCACCACTAGTAGTGATTATGATGCTATAAAAACCCGATATCGTTTTTCCCTTCTTTCCTTTTTTCTTTATACAGTATTTTTTAATAATTTTTTTTGTTTCAAAATTTTCTCGGATCACAATATTTTTATTACTGATTAGTAAATTGATCGATCAATTAAAACAAAACAAACAAACCATTTCTCTTGTAATTATTTACATCTAAAAAGTGTATTGTAGAATATTTTTAGCTCGTATCCAAGAACAATTTTTTGTTATTCTAATAGAAATAATGATTGCCAGAAAACAACATTACTATAATCATCAAATAAGTAGCGAATATAATGTGAATATGACGAATTCGTCAATGACGAAAGAGAAAAATGACCAGCTTCCACTTTTTCGGTGGCTGTTGGTTCCATTGGCAGTTTTTTTGACTTTGGTGAGATTCATTGTTCGATAAATTCGGGTTTTGCAAGAATCTTTTATTTAAATATAGGTTAATTAATCTTTGATTCGATTGATTCATTTTATTAATTAATCACCAATCAAAAAAAACAGATCCCCTCCGTAATTCTCTCACAAGCAAAAAACCCCAATAAACTAGTTCCGTCGTCAATTGCCACAAAAATATCCACAAATGCAAAAATCCCCGCCGGAATTGTGCTGACGCCATCGTTGTCATTCAACGGAGACGATGTATTTGTCGCGTGCATATGGGTTATTACGATGTTGGGTATTTCGGGACTAGTACGGCAAAAGAAGATTTTTGGGCAATTTGTGAGTATTTTTTTTTTATCCTTAGGTGCGGTGCTAATCTTATTTGAAGGTTTGGTTATTAATCTTTTCGCTTGAATACTCGTTTCGATTTAGCTCGCTGCATTTCTCATCGCTTTTACTGCATTGCAAACTTTTCTCGCATTCTGCGGAGTATTTACCAATAATCGCGCAATCGCATCAAGTTTGAATGGTGCATGGCAAAGAGCCTACGAAAACAACAAAGATCTACTTAAAGAAATTCAATACGAGGTGAGTTAATTAACATGTATCGAATTACGTGGAATTATTTTTCAGCGCATAATTTTTAATCATGGGTTTCTCGCAAATAAAGTTCTCATGCAAAGGATTTGCATCGATCGATGATCGATCCGTGGAAATCCCAGAATCGTACGATGTCTCGTGCGGAATAGTGATGGTTCAACGGTTCGGACCGCAACTTTACTACGTTGTGATGATGATGTTTATTTCGAGATTAATTCAGGTAAATGAAATTTTTTTTCGCTTTTATGACGCAAATAAAATAACTTATTCTCATCATTCTTTTATTAATTCATTCGTAAACAGTCGATCGGCGTATTTGCGCTAACATACATATTCCAAAAACTCATACAATCATCATCACATAACGAGGATCCTGAATCCTTTACGGTTCATTATCAAAGTGAAGTACCAGAATTAGGTGCAGACGGCGCACATGACGAAAAATCACATTACAACACAAATATTTTTTCCGGGATATATCGATATTTTGTATCATCCACGGCCAACAATGGTAATCACCAAAATGATGGTGAAGACGATGATAATGAAGAAGAAGAAGACGAGAATTTACCGAAATTACTGTTGGTTTTTGATATCGACGAAGATGATGAGGAAGACGTTGACGATGAGATTGAACATGATTTCGAATCATAGGATCGATAATTCGATTCGATTCGAATTTCACTAGATTTTGTTAAATAATGTAAAAACAAACCTTTTTGTAAATTTTCCTTCGCCATTCCCTTCCTCGCATTGTAAATCCCCCTTACCCCAAAAGTAAATATCAATCAAAAAATTATTTATTCAGAATGATGCCATTTTATTTTATACGTGTAAATATTTGTACAAATTGTCCTCTCACTATTTATCATCGTTTTTCGTTAGCACTATAAAAAAAACTTTGTATCACAGGTAGATTTAATCACAAATTTTGCTACCAAAAAAAAAATAATTTCACCATATTGGAAAGATTGGTAATTCTCACATGCAAACCTTATCAGATTTATTTGATTTCATTCATAATTCTCGCATTTGAGCTCTCGGAATATTTCAAAAAATTAATACAATGGGCGCTCATCACAATGACACTCGTTACAGATATGGTAACGCTATAATCTCTAGCAGATTTTTCCCGATCATTCAATATACACTCGATAGAGTAAGTATGATAACACTAGTACCCAAATTATCGAGCGTTCACTGCACTTGCAGCTCTTCGTCATTATTTTTTGCGATTCCATCAAAGAGGTATACGCTGTACAAGATCAACATCATTAACTACCTTTAGCACAAGGACCAGATTTTCATGTCAAGAGCATCAAATTAATAGTTCAAAGATAAAAGCATAGATAGATTGAATTATGTAAAAATTTTTTGTGGAAAATTTTGGTTACAATATTTTTGTCTTACGACCATAATAACTACAAGATCATCCACTCACCCTAACCCATTAATTAATGATTCCCCAATCGGATATTTATAACTATAAATTCACTTTCCTTTCCTCCCTATCCCTCCCTATCTTGCTCCGACTCATTAAGGACTATCACACTCGATCGATCACATATACGAAAAAGAGCCCATGCTTTGCTTATTTACATAATTGGTGTGATCATCGGATCAAAAACATCCGAGGGAAGGGAATACAAATCTTTCCCAAAACACATCATCTGGTTTCTTTGTAGTATTGTTTGTGATACAAGTCTTTTGGATTAAGAAGGTTTGCGCTTGTTAAATATAATTTTAAAAAAAAAATAAACACTACGAACGGAAATAATTGGTGGTTGTAAAGAGTCAGAAATTTATGTGGTCAGTTGGATGATAAAGAATGAAAATTTGAGTAACTAAAATGTGTTGATAGATGGGGATGCAAGGGGAGTATCCGATTGATTACTTGATCAAGAACTAAATCGCTATTGTCTCTTTTACTTACTTTCTATCCGAAGAAGAAAAGCTAACCCAGTGATTATACTAAAAAGGAAATTCTGAAGAGTAAAGGTATATGATTGCCACCAAAGAAAATAAAATGTAACTCAATCAACCAATCAAATAAGAAAATGTCAAAGTTTGGTTCATACTTTTTAATATAATTTTTATAATGTATATTTTTTTTTAAATTCATATTTTTGTATATATGTGTCTGTATGTAATATGTTATTCATAATATAAATGATGAGGATTATGAAACAAATAAATGTAAAATAAAAATTTTTTAGGTATCATAAATTAATAATTAATAAGTAACAAATAATAATTGGTGATGATGTATATCAAAAAGGACAATTAATATGGGAAAAAAGTGAAGAAGAATGACAGTTTGTTATTAAGCAAATGACTAATAACTAACCGCATTTTACAATTGTACAAAAGAAAAAGGTGATATAGTAATAGAATAATTTGTTATCCGCCATTAAAGTCCAAAATAAACAGACGAGATAATTAAATTTGACAAGGCAAAAGGATCCATTATATTTTAAAGTTATGTTTTTTAATTAAACTATCAGCTTATTATAATACGTTTTTTTGTCGATCTATTGCTAATCGTTCAACACCTTTTCCTTTAACTCTATTATTACTATTACTATTATTACCATTATTGTTACTATTATTGTTTACGGTAGTGACTCGAACGAAACCATTCTCTTGTCCATCTTCTGATGTTATAAACGAGTACGCGTGATCTCCATCACTGCCGCTAAACTGTAAACTTAGATGAAGTCCATCTTCATCATTATCACTAGCACTAGCTGATGATAATCCCATATCTTGTACTGAGGTGGTTGATAAATTTTGATGTTTTTCGCGTATAAGTCGTCCTGATGGTCCCGAAGACGATGAAATTATCACTCCTTCTTCTTCTTCTTCCTTTTCTACAATCCCATTTAATGTTTCTGCTCGCTCTCGAGTTTTCGGTAGATTTTGTGGTTTGCAAGATGATCCACTTTCACCACCATTACTATTATCATCCTCAAATGCTCCTATTCCCACGGTACTAGATATTTGTGGTGGACTTGATGGTAAAGTACGACTTAACATTCCATTTTCATCGTTCTCTTCGTTTCCATTACTATTACCTGCCTTATTATTTTTCGGTATAGGAATTGTCAATGATGTGGATGCCGTTGATGAAGCTAATGGTGTACGATTTAACGCACTGAAAAGTAATTCTATTTCTTGTGCTGTAAGAAAATGACCATTGATTTGGATCTTGTCTAGCTGAGTAGCAGCAGTGGTGGGCGCTCCATTGGTTGGTGAATCAGTAATAATTGTAATATTACTCTTGACACCGCCATTATTATTGTTAGCATTATTAATAGGAATGGGTGACGTTGCTGCGCTGTTACTGGTGTTACCATTTTCTTGTTGATGTTCTCTAGCAAAAGTTTGATCAACATCCACTGAACTTTTAGTTGTAACCTCAGCGGCATCGTTAGTCTTCGCTTTAGAAGTATCACCGCCAACCACCTCAGCAGTCGATGTAGCTTTCTCATCTTTTTTTGCCGCCAATTCTTCTTCGGCCAATATCTGTTCCCAATCGATCACATTTTCAACACTTGCCTCAAGGTCAGCAAAACATCTACACAACGGACACAAAAATCCCGGATGATGAGTAACTAGAATTGGTCGTATACATTTATAATGAAATACGTGGGAGCACGGCGCAAGAAACAACGCTTGAAAGGGACCGATCCCGCAGAGACAAATACAGCAGTCTGTGGTTTGATGTTTGAATGCCTCCGGACTGGTTAATTGTTTTACTTGTTTTAGAGCATTAAGACTGTGACATTCATGAGAGATGATAGTATTAATATTGAACGTAGAGAAGAAGCGTGATTGTTGATGCAATTTCAAGAAGACAAAGATAAAAGATGACATACTTAAAATGATTGAATCTTCGCTGCCAAGAACGATTTAATTCGATACGCATTTTTACGCAACGATAAATCTCTATCGTCAAATAAAAGATTAAATAAAATAAGTTAGGGCATCATGGGATCAGCTTTTGTTTTACAAAAATATATATATATATTTTTTTTTGAAAATATCTGCACACCTTCAGTTCCACCTTGATAATCCACTCCAAGTTGAACCACATCACCATCTTTTAATGGATACGGCTTGCTTTCCTGACTTGGTGATGATAATCTAACGTGGTTCAAAAAAGTTCCAGACGAAGATTTCGTATCTCTAATGAAAAACTATCAATGAGAATAGAGATTAAAAATTCAGAAGCTTACGCGAATGTTTCGTCAACACAACATCCCCACAAAAGATAAACACACGCGCACACACACCAAAAAACCACAAAGAAAAAAATAGGACTATTGCAAACCTTTCCACCTTCACACCAAATTTCCGCGTGACCTCTAGAAACTACTTTACTCTTAAACGTGACTCTATTAGGGACGTGTGCTTTGTCCGTAAATCGACCAATTTTTATGATTGAACCTTCGGGTACTTCTCGTTCAATAATGTCAAAATGTAGCGAGCGAGGACCTTCAATGTGCGGCACTATACGAATGGAGGGCGTTTGTTCTTGCTGTTGTTGTGGTGACATGATTGCCCTTTTTATGGTTGTTGCCATCCAGTGTTTTCACTCTATTATTGTTATTACACGGGAATACGGGGGTGTTGATGGTTAAAAAAGAAATGGGTGATTTTGTCTTATTTTCAGCCGTTCTGAAATTGTTCTGAAACTGCCTAATAACAAAATTGCATAAGAATATATAATAAAAATAAATTAATGAATTTTCTTTTTGACTTACTCGAGAAGGGGGTGTGGGCTGAGTAGTACCCTATAATAAAACAAGCGAGATACACATATGTGCGACCGGAATTTCGACTTGTACCACTAACCTAACCCAATATAGTCCTTACACGTGACAAATGTTTTGGTCTTGTGATTTAAATGGCCGAATCATGTTAATTTTCCACCGTTTCTTATACCTGATTTTGTAATTTCATGGGATGATCATTATGCTTTCATCGGTCATGCCAGTCCATTATTTGGGAAAATTCTATAAGTATTCGGATTTTTCAATGGATTGGTTTATTCTTCGTAAAAAAAACCTGGGTATATCAGATATCAACCAATTCGTATATACTCTGGTGGTTCCTCGCTAGCATGAAACCTTATTCAATCGACTATCGACCGATAACAGTTAGTTTGAAAAAAAAGTACATCTAAAGCGGGTCGTATTTTAAAATTTTCAGAAAATTAGAATAATAATAAACTTTTCTGACGGAGATTAAAGATAGACTTCTGGTTGTCCTTTTTTAGATAACTATGTGCTCTGACGTATAATTTTTGAGATATGTGCATCAATAACGTTTGTACATACCCAAAAGAACAATTTATGGGAAGCTTGACTATTTGTATTTTGACATTATGACAGAATTGGTGAACGTATTGATTTGTTCTCACCCATAATTCTGAAATATCAATATCATTCAGTAGAACGAATCTCCATACACATTCGTGTGTTAGCAAGGTCACTGTCACTTACGTACGATGTTATACTAGAGACAACCAACCGATGCATGATAAACATATGGTTATCATTCATCATGATGGTTATTTGATTGTAACATGAAATAATAATAATAATGGTGATGATGATGATGATAAATAATAAGTAAAAAAAGGTGTTTATGCTGACTGTTGAAAAACAAAAAAAAGAATAATCAACAACTTCGAGTCGGAATTCGTGTACTGACAAAACAAGATCTACGTGTTTAAAATTTGATCGTGCAGGTTCGATCAATATCTCATCAGATATTTCATGTATTTATTTCTCTGATGAACCGTTGTAAAGAATCGAGGCTTCTTTTCTTCTAAGCTTTTTTTTTAAATAAACAAAAGCCACAAATAATTTGAGAGGACTTTTGAGACGTTTAATGATCCGATTATCGTTATTTTTAGTGACAAATTGGAAATTCAAACCTTTTTATTTTGGGATTACATGTACTCATGATTTATTTATCGACCGATAATTGTTGTTACACAAATAAAACATAACACGTTAGTGGGATTATCCCGAGAAAAAAAATCACTCGATCCCCTGGTATGTTCCACATCGTTTCTAGCCTAGCTTTTTGATGCTCTTACATATAATGATCATGCGCGTTATAGCTAATCGTAAATTATTATTATGAACAAAAGAGGTCGATCTTTACGCTAAAATGCGTGTTGGAGATTTTCATAATTAATATCCCCCTTTGTTATTCGTCGTTGTGCTGCTTTTGTGTTCCGCGCTTTCGCTTTTTTAACTTTTTTAGTTGCATTAAATTGTTTGACTTGAATAATGTAATATAATTATTTGTCCATCCATCCATTTCTCTCTCCTTCTCCCATATTTTAGTCAGCCGCGAGGCTATAACAAAATCTTACAGGATACAAGTTTTTGAGAAACTTTTATGTCCGTAAAATAAAAAAAAAATCAACAACGAAAACAAAAAAAAGCCTCGTTTATCCCCTTTCTTATTTTATTTTTTTTTTCCTCCATTATCCATCCTATTCGAAAGCAGAGTGCATGGTCACCTCGTCTCAGTAGAACTCAGAACGCTTGGTCTCTTGCATGCTACTTAAACTTCCATTATTTCATACATCACATCTGTCCTAATTATTTCACAATAATATTTATAACCATTGGTGCTGGTGTTAAAATATTTCGTGCTCATATTTCTGAGAGCAGAATCTTTTTGGGTCTAGTTGTTCATTTCTTGATTTTTGTTAATAGTGTTTTGATTCGTCACGCATTACGGTAGCGAGAGAAAAAAGCATACACAGAAATGTCACAGCAGCATCAGCAACAACAACAACAACAACAGTATTCACCATATCCCTCTTCCTCTCAACAACAATATCAACAGTATCAACCATACCAACAACAACCAACGCCATTACCATATTCACAACAACAGAGGCAACAATATTCACTTCCACAATCGCAACAACTATCTTCGTCAAGAAGTCCGTCCCCACCTCAATATTATACCGGAAGTGGAAGAAATACACCAGTGAACGAATATCCATCACAAATCTTTTCGAATAATAATAATTATAATGATGATAATTATCAAAAATCGTCATCATCTTTCAACAATGGAAAAGATGATGATAACTACGAGCAGAAATTAGGGTCCGGACGATCAGAATCACCAATTGCCGATCGTGACGGGTGGCAATTTCGTCCACCTCATCATGGTCATATCATAACAAAAGGCGAAATGATTAATCGAATTGTACCCTATTACGAAGTATGTATCTTGATTCTTTGGAGGATTTCGATCGATTTTGGGAATATTAACGTTTGACAATAATTCGATTTTACAGATGTTTGCCACTAATGTCTTTCTTCTGGGATACAAAGTTCTCGATAATGCTTACCAAGCAGTCAACGGCAGCACATACCGGATAGTATTATTCGATGCATGCACCGATCGTTGGAAAATTCCCGAATTCGATTTCTGTGCCGCGTCACAACTGGTGTGGGGATTAGTAGGCGGCGCCCTAGTTTACTTTATCGTGACGGGATTAGTCGCGATTGGTATAGCCATAGAACTTCGTCGCAAGGGATTCCATTCGTCATTTACCGCGCTATGGCATTCGCCGCTTTTTCTGCTTTGTTTCCTTTTTCCGGACACTAAGCGCGTAGATATTCTTAGTATCCCCAATAAATATGTGAAATTAGCGCGTTGGACGCGTGCTCACATACAGCGAATTGCGATGGCCATTTATTCGTTCGTTTGCGTGGTTTTGGTGTTTAAATCCTTGGCTCACGGGTAACAAGTGATTTTTTTTTTGTTTTATCGATGCGTGCTTGCCACATGATATTGATTGATTCCCGTTTGTCGATTATAGAACTGCTGAAACATCTCGGATCAACGGAGAGAACTTGAATGGATATAAAAAATGTATCTACTCTTTGATGAAAATTCACTTACAATTTTAACCAGATACTAATTTCGTAACCTTTTGCTATTAGATTATAACCCGTATTTAATCCCGTATTATGTCGCATTATACATCTTTTTCAAAACACTTACGACCATGGTAATTCGCATCTTTCAAGATAAACATATTCGAAATCGACCTGAATTAATTGGACGTTATTACCAAGCAATCAAATCCGATAAATAGAAAGAACGAATTGAGGCTTGGATTTGGATGAACTGATGAGCTGAGATTATTTTTTTTTATAGAGTTAAGAAGCTGTCGCGTGGGTTATTGTGTATTTTTAGAAACTTAGATTATTTATTAGTTGTCAATAATATTTTTTTGTATGACTTTAATTTAATTAATTACAGATGCAGATGTACAAATAAATAATAATCGAGACTTAATTACTGGTTTGCGAGATTTAAAATCTTTTATTTGTCATGTATATGTATGTATATAATCTAATCAACGACATATTTAGATATCTATGAATCTATTCCATACAACGATACACGTTTCAAAATGTATACATTGTATTTCGAATTTTTCCAAATTTATTGATTATTAAAAATTTATAATTATTCGACATGCGTGAAATAAATTAAAAATAAATAGAAATGTCTCTCGAAGCATCCTTTGTGTAGCAGAAGATAATAATAGCATAATTACAAATCCAACTTCTCGAGTCCCACATTTTAATTAGAACAAAAAGTACCCTAGAATGGCAAAGACTCCACCAACAAAAACTTTTCCATTACCACTTTGACTCAACGATTGTGCATCGTTAGAGCTTGACGACGGATTAGGTGAGCTATTGTTTGATACAGAGGTTGCTGCTGCTGAACCACTGGACTGTGTATTTGTGGGTAAAAAGCTACCAACTTGACTACTATATTGACTAAAAAATTCAATAAATTATAATATTAAATATTTGATGAGACGCCAGCAGTTTTTGCATCAAATAGAATCTTTTTGAATTTGATCGAGATAAATTACCTTATAAGACTAGAAAGGGCGGCAGTATTGGAAATGAAAGAATTAATCCCGCCAGAAGCAAGTGCGGAACTGATCGCAGCACTAGCCTGAGACGGAAGCCCAGTCGGAATCGACGTTACTCCATTACTGATATTGTTGAGGACAGAAGATACCGTAGCTGCTGCACCTGGTGGGAGATTTGATGGTATACCTGTTGTTGGAATACCATTAGCCGATAGCGCACTTGCTATGCTTGGGGGTATGCTTGTGGTTGGCGTGCCTGCTGCTGCTACATAGATATTTGCATTTGGGCTCGAGAAAGCAAAGAAAGCGGTTGAGGCTATGATTGCTGTTGTTGTTGAAATGAATTTCATGTTTGGAATAAAAGAATATATAAGTTTCGAAATTGAGTTCTATTAAATTATAATTATTATGATTGTTGTGAATAAAAAAAAAGGGGGGGAGGAATAATTCACCGAGTTCTATTTATATTGGTGTCTGAAATTACCATTAACCAGTTATAGACAGATCAATAAATATGTAAGTAAAATTGATAATTACATGAAACCCATGTGTAGTAATTATTTATCTACAGTAACCATCATCACCAATTAAAACCGTGTCAATGGCGGTGCAAAAAAGCTTTTTTTCATATATCACAAGCCTTCTCGTCAGCAAAATGGAGTTTGTGACGATAATGAAAAGACAATGAAACTATTTACCCACAAAAGCAAAAGCCTCCTTCTATTAATGGAAACTCATTGGGAATTTAGATGTGTGGCGATGTTGTATGCAGCTCCTTACAAACTGGCTAAACAATAACGGCAGTTTGCTTTCTCCTTTTATCGTTATGAATTATTCTGTTTGAAATTCGTCACTTTTGTTTATTTACGTGTTTTTCTATAAGAATTGTCAGTGCCATTAAATAATAAAGACAAATTTTTTACCATATTTCTCCGATCAAGCTTTGTACAATTAACACTGGATATAACGAAACTTTTTAATAACGAACTCGGACTTTTGATTTTATTATGAGTTCGCGAGCCTTTTTATAATAGAACCGTCAGTTCGTTGACTGATATCTTTATTTCATTTTGATGACTAAATCAAGCAATCCATTATGATATGACGTCATTTTTATGGCTATGAAAATAACCTTTGATACATCAAAACCTTTTTTCCAAATACTGTCGTCATAGAGATTTTTCGTACACAGAGGTAATTTTAATATCAATGAATTGGATTTAGCCCTTTGTACCATTTTTATAAACTTTATTAACATCAATAATATGCCTGACAAGAAATCATAATTATAAAAGGTGATATTATTCAATATTATATTATAGTACATTCAGTATCAAGAAAAAAATTAAACTTTGTGTATTTGAATAAATATTAGCTTACATAAAAAATTATTCAGTAAAATTATTCAGTATTATTTATTTAATTATGTTATTCGATTCTATTTTATATTTACTTAGCCAATAATATTTTAGATTTATTATGATTACACTTAATTATTTATAATTAAGATTTACAAAATTAGTAAAAGTGATAAAAATAATATAAATAGTGAAAAATAAAGCTAATAAAATATTAAATATAATAACTTAGAATTTTCTATAAATACAAACTTGCATTTTAGTTATTTCTTAATCTATATTTCAGACAAATTTGCCTGGTATTTTAACAATTTTCATTATATAATATTATTGAATTTTATTAAATAAATATTTTTTATTATATAATATTATAAAATTAGCAGAATCTCAATTATTATTCTATAATAAATTTTAGAAAATTTTGTTTAAAATATGAATTAAAACATAAATTTTTGTATAACTAAATTTCTAAGTATATAATCTTTTAAAATAAAATTTTTAATTAATAAAAATTTAATTCTAATTTTAACTTTAATTTAATAAAATACTTATTTTATT